CACACACATACACACACAAACTCTCTCCCTCTCTCGCACATCCACATAATATTACACATATCCCCCCCTCCACCCCAACATCTCCAGGCGTTGACAGCCAAGCCCAGGACACCAGTCAGCCCTACGATGCCTACTACGGTATTCCTTTCGCCGAGCCACCCGTAGGCAACAGGAGATTCCAACCCCCAGAGCCTTACCAAGGCCGTGACCCCACAAGGGTCATCTCCTCGGACAGGTGAAGATGATTATCTTACTTGTGTGTGATCAGTGGGGTTGTTTTTTTTTTGTTTATTCATCCGTTTGAAGATTTGTAAGGTAGAATTTTTCTTGTTTGACAGTGTGGGTTGGTTAGTAAGTTCAGTATAGATCTAATAATAATTATTATTTAGTTATAATTTGTTTGACCATTTGTTTCTATGTTGGTTAATCATTTTGTTACTATTAAAATTAGTAAGCTAGTTCATTTGTCAGTTATAGTTGGCCTTATGTTTGTGGGGGAAAATTCTAAAGAAAACGATAAAAAAGTCAACTTGTGATCTCAAGTCTATATCCAAAATAAGCACCACCAGACAACTAAAGCGAGTCGTCTAAGGTCCTTCAACAGGTAATAAAACATGTTACCACCTGTAACCTCAATATTATACCTTATCTTATCCCCTCTTAATGTAATCTTACGTTTTTAAAACAGTTTTAATATACAATTAAATGACATCTAATAACAATAATATGATTATTATGATTTTACATAATAAGCTTATTTAAAACGGAGTCTTAACGTTGAAGTTTGAGTTTCTTCTCCTCCCCTCACACACAAACTTCCGTCCCCACCAAATTCGTTTTTAAAGCCACCCTCTCCTCCAATACCATGATCCTTTTCTTTCCCCGAAACCTGCATTCACCCAATCACACATTTCTAATTTTAATGGACATCCCATCTCCGTCTCGCTTCTCATGCGCACAGCTTCCGGTCAGCTTGTATCCAGCCTATCTTCCAGCCTGGCTACCAAATGAGCGAAGACTGTCTCTACCTGAACGTCTTCACGCCCCTAGGGGCAGCCACTTCTGGAGCGCCTAAGAAAGTAAGAAAAAGTACATGTACACACACACACACACACACATACACACACACACACACACACACACACACACACACACACACACACACACACA